TGATTTTCATCTTTTAAAACTTCTAGTTTCTGGTCAACCTCAGTTGATTTATCTTCTATTTTTTGGATTCTTTATTGATTATCTGTGATCATTTTTTAAAAAAATTCAAATTGAGAGTCCATATTGTTAATTTTTTTATTCATTTTATCAAAATAACTTTTCAACTCCTCATGGTTTCTTGTTGTGACTGCCATGTGAGTAGCAATTGCCTCTTGAATTGCTTGTAGGGTCACTTGGGTTTCCTTTTGGAAGTTATTAGCCTTTTCTTGTTGAAGCATTGTATCAATTGATCTCTGATAGACTGGATGTCAAGGTTCCGACTAATGGAACACTTCAAAGAACTTCCAGGCATTGTTTATTCTAAAAAGTCTTTAATCATATGAACACAATGTCAGCACAGCATGGATGGATGCCATGATCTGAATTTCCCTTTCTTTGCACATAACATTCCAGGCTATTCCCCTACCTTATTTTGCAGTCATAATTCACATTTTCCAATCAGCCTGAAGGGCAAAGATTCACTTCCGATCCCTATCCCGCACAGTTATCTTTCTCCTCCCCCCACCATCATCTTAATTAACTCTAAAATTACCAGACAGTTCTGCACAGTGCTTTTTTTGTAAAAAAAAAAAAAAAAAAAAGCTGCTGGAATGCACACATGTCATACAACCTGCCTTGCCTACCCTACAAGGTTCCATCCAAAAAAGGTGCCAGAACTCTGTTCTGGGCGTTCTATGACAAAAAAAGCCCTGGTTCTGCATATCTTGTCAAAGCAATAATATCCAATATTAGCAGCGTTGACACTGGATTTGCAGAAGCTGAAGAGGGAGCAGAAGATCCTTTTTTCCAACTTTAGATAAGTTGGGAGCACTCATCTTTATCTTTAAATCATAATCCACCAAGTAAGTCAAAATTTATAATCAAATAAGCTCCTAACAAATAAGAGAGGTAAATAATAAAAATAGTAAATGGTAAAAAAGAGCAAAAGGGAAAAAAGAAAAAAGAAAGAAAAAAATGTATACCAAAATTTGTAATCCAAAGTATTCTGTTCGAAGGGATTTCTTATTATTCAGTCTTTCAAAACAGCTTGTAAAAATTCCAGGTCAAGCTGTATTTGTAATCCAGGGAAGTCCGATGACTTCAAACATAGATTTTATTTATAATAGTAATCCATCCTGTAGGACAGGGCAATCCAAAAACAGTCTTTTCTTTTTCAGCCACAATCTTCAGGACTATAAATTCCAAGGACACCAAAATGTTTAAACCTCTATAATCTATGTCTGGGCATACAGCCAAGTTTTAAGACTCCAATCAAAATAACTCAGTAAGATAAAGGAAAAAAAATACAAAATTAAATGTAATTCTCAATTTTGCCAGTAGGTGTCATTAGATGTCTGTTCCCACCATACTTTAAAAAAGTTTAAAAAGTTAAAACCCAATGGTTTCCAAACAAACAAAGAATAAAAAAAAATTATAAATCCAAATGTTTCCCCCAATTTATCCTTCTTTTATGCCTCAGTTATCTTCACAGTATTGTTATAAGTCAGTTTTAATTTCCCCAAAGCTTAAACACCCACTTATAGTTAAGGAGGGAGGGGTAAAGAAAAAAAAAAGCTCCCCCTTCCCTGAAGCTTGGGGATTTCTTGCTTTCCAGTGCTTTTTCCCAGAACCGATATTTTTGCTTGTAGAGAGATAAGGAAAGTAGTCTCACCCAGATTAGCTGTTTTGCTTTCCGCTTTTAGAATTTGTTGTCTCTGATGATCAGCTGCTTCTGGCAGACTGCATGGGTACGGTCAGCCTTTCTTCCTGCCAGATCAAGCGAGCCAGCTACCACTGGCTCGTGATCTGCAAGGTTTCACCCTTTGGCCAGTCACCTCTATGGGGCAACTTTCGGTCCTATTGGACTCCCCAGCTAGCAGAAATAGAGCCTGGGGAAGGGAGCTTCATTCCCCAGTGCCCATCTTGCAGCGACATCACTGGAAACCCCCCATGTTTGTATTCAGTTTGAAGGTGTCTATCATCCAAAGTTTTTCAGGAAGTAAAACTTTTGAAAAAAGTTGTTATCCAGTATTATCCTATCATGTGGCAGTGAATCAAATGCTTTTTTTTATAATCCACACTACATTCTATTGGTCTTCCTTATTCACTTCTTCTCTCATTGTATGAAATTATATCATACTGCATTTCATTTATTTTCCCTTTAAATAAATGTTTTGACATAGCAGGATTATACCATAACACGTGTGAATTCTGTGATTTGCCACAGAAATAATGTAGGTTGAATTACTTAGGGTGAAAACTGCCAAGAAATATACTGCATTAACAAATCTCTTACATTAAATAAATCAAAAATGTTCAGAAATAAATTCAGGTAATCCTTTGTCCACTATCATCAGTGTTATGAATAGGAAGTCAAAACTATTTGAAAAGGAAAGGCAAAGAAAATTGTAATAATAAGTTTACCTTAAATTTATTAAGTAACAATGGCATTTGGGAAACCTGGAGAAAAGCAGTTACTTTATATAGACAATTATTTAATGAAAATAATGTGTAAAGAGTATGTGTTCCATAAAAATGTAAGAGTAAAACAGAAAAAATAGAAGTAATTCAGAAGCAGTCTCCAAATACTGAGAATTTCTATTGAATGAACTATGTTCTCCGTAAACTAATATAAATAAAACTCACATTATTAGTTCAAAAAATATAACATATAACATTAGACCAACATTTGGTTTTTTATTTTTTATTTAAAAGGTATAAAGCAGCCTTTCTTTTAAATTCCTAAAAGGATGTATGATTGAAACCATTTTTTATGTTAATCCAATTTCTCTGGGCAATAATAACAAAAAAGTGAATGTGAAGAAAGAAATGAAAATCTATGGTGATTTAATTAGTACAAAATTGATCTTATTTTCTTACTAGTAAGGCAACAGGAATAACTCAACTTGAAATAAACGAGAAAGCCATTTTTACAGCCACAATTTCTGCTGGAAAATCAGGTAAGCCGTCCAAAATAATATCTTGTTGATGCACTCATGCATTTCTGCATATACAAATCTTGCAACAGTGTTAGAAATACAATATAAAACATCGCCATGGAACAGTATTGCATTCTGTATCTGTTCCTTGGATCTCTCCCTCTGCTGAAGAATGCAATTACTTATTCAAAGGTCTTGTCATTTAGTCAGCAATTTGAAAATCATAAACCTTGTTTGATTAGTGTATAAAGATTATTTAGTCACTCTACAACAGGGGTCTTCAAACTTTGCCCTTTTATGACTTGTGGACTTCAACTCCCAGAATTCCTTAGCCAGCGTGGGGAAGTAGGGAATAATCATAAATCCAAAGATGAAATATTCAAATGTTGAACTAAGGGTGTAAAAATAAAAGGACTTTAAAAAAACCTGTAACAATAATAACAATAGGGTTGGAAAGTGACTGTTTTTTTAAAAAAAAGAAAAACTGAGGGCCTCCAATTGCCAGAATTTATACTGCTCAATAGCTTATTGAATCTCAAAAGCCTATGAAAAAAGTGAATTTTTTTTTAATTGTATGATTAAAAACTGATGATTTCTGGTAAGAGCTACACAATAAAAAAAACCAATAACAACTAGACTAAGAGATAGCAGTGTTCCAGTATTTGAGGGGCTGCCACAAAGAGGAAAAGGGAAAACTATTCTCCAAAATACTTGAAGGCAGGACAAGAACCAGTGGGTGGAAACTAATCAAGGAGAGAAGCAACCTAGAACCAAGGAGAATTTTCCTAACAGTGAGAACAATCAATCAGTTGAATAGCTTGCCTGCAGAAATCATGTATGCCCCATCACTGGATGCTTTCAAGAAGTCTGAAATTATATAGACTCTCCTTCTCAAGCAGGGGGTTGGAGTAGATGACCTCTAGGGTCACTTCCGACTATGTTATTTTATGTTCTAAATATATGGCAGACTATTGAAAAAGACAAAGGCAATGATACATTTTCTAATTCTGCATAAAGGAAAATAAAGTAACCCTAATTCCTGCTTTTATAAACTGATAATATATGACTATATGTTTGCTCTTCCTGTACTAAAATGTACAACTCTAACAATTAAATTGTTGCTAAAATTTTAAATCTTTGATTTTTCAAAAAGAGTGTTACAAACAGTGAAGTGATGTTCAAATCAGCTGTTATCACACATGTAAACTTTGAGCTATTTATTTCAGGCACTCATTATGCAAATTTGTTAATCCAATATAACTGGATTACCCATTCCAAAGAGTGCAGCAGAGACAATGTATACCAAACAATGTGTATTCTTTGACAAACGTATCATAATACCATTCAAATTATTTTGCTGTTTGAAAAAAACTAGCCATTATCATCCATAAATATCAATTTATTAATAAAAAGGCATCCATCAAAGGACATACAAAAATACAGCCACCTAGGACCTATTAAGTAATCTAAAGTTAGCCTAGTTTAGCAGGATAGCTAAGGAATACACTGTATGTTATTTTGAATGATATAGTTGTCTAAAATAGTTTTGAAATCCCTTATGGTAAGAGCAACTGTGGAGATAGAAACAAGATAGTTTAAAAAAAAAAAAAAACAAAACTGGTCCCACTGACACAAATAAGCTGGTTTTAATGCACTTATACACATTCTTTAAATTTTCTAAAAGAATATTTTCAAAATTGCAATCTGGTTTATGAATTCAGACACAAATGACTCTGAACAACCAGTAAAAATGATTGTCCAATGCTTTTCTTTTTTCCACCTTGTGAAATCTCATATATGTTGAAAGAAATGGCTTTTTACTGATAATACATGAAGGTGGCTTTCATTTGGATTATCAAGACATTTGCTACATGATGGGGAAACATTCCAAAGATCCCTTTAAAATTGTTCTTAATGCAGTTTATTCACACAAATGCTAAGATATATATCAAGACATGCAGTGTAAAAATGAATTGCAAACTGTCATTTTTCCCTTTAAATAACATTAAGTAATTTACTGACCCCAATAGAAGGTTCCAACTTTTTCCTTTTGGCCATATCTGTGATATTATTGGTATTGTAGATTATGCTTTCCATGCAGCCTTTGAAATTCTTTCTGCTGTTTGAACTGGGCTTCCCAGAAAAAGGCATACCTCCAAATGTTATCTTTGAAAAGAAATATGAAATATTTTATAAGAATGACAATTTGCCCAATTTCCCCCAGATTTTACCTGTAAACAAGTAAGTTAAGCGCAGCTCTTGAATCAATTTCATCAAAATTAATATACTTGCATAATTTACTTCACAAGATGAAGCAGTTTGCCATTGCCTCTTTGAGGAGATATAATGTTATGTGATATTATCAGCAAGGTAGAGCTAGGTGCTGCTGTTTGCAACCTCTGCAGATTTATTTCCTGTTATGTATTGTTGAACATTCTAGTGGAAATCTATCTGCAAGAACCAACAGAAATCATGATCATGTGTATTTTTTGAGGGAATGAGCTATCTTTCTGTAAATTGCATGAATTCCCAGATTCTGTGGAAAATTTAATTTTAAAGCACCAAGTACTAGACTGCAAGCTGATAATAACTTAGACTGTGATGTTCCTTTTACAAATTTTGAATGGAATACAGTCCACAGAATATCTATTTCCTGTCTTATCTTTTCTTTTGCAGCCTATTCCTATATGTTCCCCCTGATCATGAAGGTTGGATTGGGATACCCAGGGCATTATATGAAACATGATATTTGAAATGCAATGGCTTTCCTGGCACAAGGTAATGCTTATTAGTATATGATCCATCCATTCCAGGGCGAAAGTAATTAATTGCACAATCAAAACATAATTTAAAATGGGTTCGCTAACGTTTTCCCCCTTAAAGTAGAAAATAGGAACTCATTTAATTTAAGAACCCAGGAAAGGAATGAGAAATGTAAAACTTTTTTACTTATTGCACTTAAGAAACAGAAGTGAAGATAAACCTGTCCTTGAGTCCTGCAACATTTGTGGCATGTTTGCTTTTCCTAGATACTAATCATCATACAGTTTCAAAAACTGCAAACTTGTGGATCTGCAATTTCAACAATGAGAACTACAGCAAAGAAGTATAATTATTTTGGCTGTTCTTCATAAAAGAGGAAAAATTGTAAAAATAAATTGAAGGAACTGCTACAACTGTGGACTTTGTAGAAGCAACTCTCTGTAATAAACATAATTAACTACAGAGATAATGAAACTGGCATCCAAAAGCAAAAGATACAAGAAGCTTTGGCATCATCGATAGATTTTAGTGGAACTATAGTATTGAATCCTGAAAATCCTTGAAAAGTAGAGGGAATGCAATTCTCCACTAAAGGAAAAGTTGATGGTCATTCAGTAGTATAAAGAATGGAAACAAATATGAGCTGAATAGACATATTAATTTAGAGTTTAGTACCTGCCAGAGTACATAGTTGGGATGTGACAGAAATACTGTCAAAACTTATCTAAATCACAGATCATTCTTCCATTTTAGTAACTGATGTAAGAGACAAACTCACAACTCACCAAGCAAAAGTGCACTGAGATACTCTGGAACTCTACAATGACAACATGCAAAGCAAAAGCAAAAGCAGGAAGGTGAAGAATGCTAGCAACTGTGGGAAGTCATCCCCCCAGAGGAGGAAATATTAAAAGGGCAGGAAAATATATTTTCTCAAAGGATCTTGAAGAGGCAGGAAAACATGCCCAGTTTTTTTACTAGCCCCAGGTCTCCATTCCCCAAGCAGAAACCAGCTCTATAGAGATGCAGATGTAAATCCAGGGAGCTAGGAGATTAAGAAGACAAAGACCTAAAATCTACATACCCCATCCAAACTCTAAGAGTCATCAGCCCCAGGGAAGTAGGATATGACCTTTGGACATAATAAGATTGACCCATCACCATCAGAATACCAGAAAGGCACACTCAGACTCAGATCAAAGTTCATGCTACAGGAACAACTCCAAACAAAAGGCTCCAGGGAGTGTTCAGCCTTTTTTTCTCTCCTCTTTCCTGCCAGAATCATCTTTCTGTCTGGCTCTTCAATAAACTGCAACCTTCTTTCTAAAGCAGTCGCCATGTTGTTTATCCCTGGCTTGGATGAACCACGAAGAAGACTTTTCTTCCAACACAACAATCAAAGATTTTCTTCACATATATTCAAAGGGAGGGAAAGGAATCAGTATAGCAGCTGCCAAATCAAGGTAGCAAAATGCTTACAAGTAAAAAAAAAATGGCAGAGCTACTTAACTCATACTTTGAATTGGTATTTCCAGATGAGGCTATACCAGACAATTTTGCAGAACAGAATGACTTGTGATACATACTTGGCTAAGGATTACTAATTACACTGAATGAGTTTAAATGTCCAGTGCCTAATGAATTTGTAAGGAAAGTGCAAAGACTCTAACAAAGTCTTGTATTTTGGATGATATAACAGTTAAGAGGATAATTGCTCAGTAATTGCTCATTATCAATGGTAGTTTCACATCAAATTGGAACAAAATATTGGCAATAGAAAATCTAATATCTTTATTTCAACAGAGAATTTGATAAATATCCCATGGTGTTTTATATGAAAGTTAATTTTCATGACAATTACTTGTATGCATATTTGTCTCAAAAATTTCCTTATTAGACTAGGAGAAAATGTCCAGGAGAAATACCATAATCAGTTAAATTATTGATTCAGTTGAATTATTGATCCACTATGAAGCTGAGAATAGCTGCTATCCCAAATATGCTTTTTCTTTTTTACAAGGCAACTGGACTTTCTTGTTTTTTCTTTGAAGATGTTTCACTTCTCATCCAAGAAGTTTCTTCAGCTCTGACTGGATGGTAGGGATTGGAAAGATTTATACTCCTGCAGACAGCTGTTCATTTGCATTCTTTTAGCGAGTCGTTAAAGTTATCTGGAAGCTTATCTGTGTCTCCAGGGTCACTTGAGTAGTGCAAATGGGTGTGGCGTCTTCTTGGAACTGTTGAAAGGACTGGGTTAGAGACTGGAGATAGATGATGTTATATCTCTCCCCCTCTGTTGAGAGAGGGCTGTTCAATTTTGACATAGATGGCCTCTTTGAGTCCTCTTTCAAACCAGCGGTCCTCGCTGCCCAAAATGTGAGAGGGTTAGGGTTAAGACAATTGAAATTTTGACCTCAACTGTGATTGTAAGTCAAAGACTACCTGTAAAGCTGCCTTTTGCAATTGACTGGTGGTGATTTTGCCATTGTCTTCATTTTCTATTACTTTCCAGCTTCTTCATTTTCTATTACTTTCTCTGTTTTTTGGTCTGGCAGTTCTTGCTTGCGGGCAAATGGTATTTCTTGCAGACATTCCAGTGTACCATTGTTGCTAATTTGTCATGCCATGTTTGTAGTCAGTTTATACAACCTTCTTGCTGCAACTAAGTAGATGGTACATTGTTTCTTCAGCTTCTTTGCAGAGGCAGCATTTGCCAGATCTAGATGTTATCTGATTTCATGCTAGATTTTTTTCATGTACTGTATAATCTTGGACAATTACTTAAATATGAGTCAGGAATGTACTGCAGCTGCCAAAAAGTGAATGGAGTCCTAGATTGCAGCAAAATAAGGATTGTATCAAGATCACATGAAGTGATAATGTCACTTTATGGTAAAACCACACTTGAAATATTGTGTGTAGTTTTGGTAATGATAATACAAAAATGATGTTGACACTATAGAAAGAGTGCAGATATGAGCAACAAAGATAATTAGGGGACAGGACGCTAAAGTGTATGATGAACTGATGCAGGAACTGGGTTTGCCTAGTCTAACCAAGAAAAGAATTAGAGATGACATGATAGCAGTCTTCCAACATTTGAGGGCCTGTCACAGAAAGGATTAAATCAACCTATTCTCCAAAGAACATGAGGGCAGGACAAGAAGTAATAGCTGGAAGGTTATCAAAGAGAGATCCAATCTAGAATCAAGGAGAGATTAATGGCAGAACATTAATAATGAGAAATGTGAGAATCAGTGCAATAGCTTGCTTCCAGAAGTTGTGGGTGCTCCATCACTGGAGGCTTTTAAGAAAAGATGGACAGTAATTTGTCTGGAATCATTTAGGGCAGTGGTGGCGAACCTATGGCACGCGTGTCAGAGGGGGCATCAGAGCCCTCTCTTTGGCACACGCGCCATTGCCCCAGCCCCGCCTCCCCCAGCAGTCCCCTCCTCATCAGCAGCCCCCCCAGAGGAGAGTTACCTCTGGGCGCGGCCCACGTGGAGCAGCACAGCCAAGGACATGGCAGCCAGGCAGTGGGAACAAGACTCTGCCCTTGTGCCCCTTCATGTGCAAATGTTGCTGCGGGGTGGAAGGCATAGCCGCCATGGCACTGCTGGGCTGCCTGGGTGATCTGCAGCAGGCCGTGGAGGCACTTGGTGGCTCAGCGGGCGGGGGGCAGTTTTTGGGCACTCAGTCTCTAAAAGGTTCGCCATCACTGATTTAGGATCTACTGCTTGGCCAAAGGGTTGGAAGACTGCCAAGATCCCTTCCAACTCTGTTATTCTGTAATTCTTTCTTATAGGCTAGTTTGATTTCTTTGTTATTCAGTAAGCTTTCATAGTGTATTACATTCAGTGCATCTTTTTCTTTATGTCCCTGATGTTCTTCCAATCACCTCTTTTCTTGTTCAAATGTCTGGAGTATTGCAACATTCCATATCTTTGAGTGTGTCAAAGTCACTATGTTCCTGAAGGGCATGATTCATATTCATTATTTTTCTGATCTTCCTATCCAGAGTTCTATATGAGTCCCATCCACTATTCTAGTTATATATCTAATGAATGGAATTGCCCTTGATGGCATGTTTTTCACTGAATCTTATTTTAAGCTTTATTTATGATACTTTCACTGCTAACCTTCTTTTTTATTTTTTTTATAAAAAGTTTTATTGTTTTTTTTCATTTTTTTCCTGCTTAGGACACAACGTGGTGGTCAAGGTGTCAAGTCATTCAAAGACAAAATCATATAAGTATAGCTCAAATTAATTATCAAAAATTTCCTCTCTTTCCTAAATATAATATTGCATATTAAAATTAATACAGTTTAGGTAAAGTTCAATCAAACAGAAATCATCAATCACATGCGATTATAATAATCTATATCCTGTTTTAAGCTTTACTAATTACAGTTGTCATACTCCAATTACGTTTTAGTAAACATATAGTTGGGATTTCAGGTATCCTTAATAATAGGTCATTCATTGAGACTGATTTTTTTCCCTATCACAAATAGCTCTTCCTCTCTCTCTATTACAACATAGTTATCATATTTAAAATAATAATATAAGTCCAACAGATACAGTTCTATTTTTAAAAATATATTCTATCATTTCACCAATCTACATCTATAAACAATCTTTTTAAGCCCTTGATAAAGTTTACACCTTCAAATACTTATCAACTATAATATCAGGAAATTCCCATCCTTCATTCATAATTAAATCAAACAAACTCTCTCTAACTATTACAACATATTTATCATATTTATAATAATAATATAAATCCCAAAAATACATTTCTATTTTAAAAATATATTCTATCATTTCATCAGTCTACATCTATAAAGTCTTTTTACCCCCTGAAAAGGTTTACTCCCTCAAATACTTATCAATTATAATAACAGTAAATCCACATCCTTCATTCCTTATTCAATCAGAGAAAATCTCTAAAGCCTTTTTAACCCATCAAGTAACATTTTATGTCACATTTAAACCTGACTCTAGCTTTCTTTCTATGCCAAGTTGGTTCCCATATTAAAGCTTTTCGGTTATCAAACCTCAATATTTGATTACAAACATTTCTAATCAATTCAAACTGAACAAAATTTCCTTCCCTTTCTGCCAATATCATCTGAGTATTATATTGACTTTTACTCGATGTTATGGTTATAAGTAAATTATCCGCTTTATTGTATTTTCCAGAGGTTTGTGTCTGAATATCAATCTTTGTTATTTTTAGTAATTGAACTGAGTCAATTACAGTTACTTCTTGGTCATCAAAATTATCCATCAGTTGTAGGTAACGTTGTGTGGAATTAGTTGGCTCAGTGGTTTCCACATTTTCTCCCAGTATAAATTCACAATTGGGTTCTAAGCAAAGTGTGTCTGTCTCTTTGAATTGTATGTCTTGATGTGTAAAGGCCTGTTCAGGATTACTCAGTTCATCTTCTATTATTCCTTGTTTCATAACTTGATTCATTATTGGAGAGTCGATGTGAGGTTCCAAGGTAGCCTCTTTAAGTTTACTCCAAGGTTTCCAATAAGTATTGAAGTCTTCTGTAAGTTCTAATATTTTTTCCAGTATTAAATCATAGTCAAGATGTGGATAACTTTCATCCATTTTGGTGATAGACTAGCCTATTCCTTTATTAGAGACTGTATTTGAAAAAGATCCACAAATGTCCACCTCCAAAGGTCTAATAGCCAGCTTCACCACAGGTCAAGTTATCTTTTCTCTTTTATTATCATATGAAAATCCAATCCCTCTTCAAATAACAGGGAGAAGTACAGTTACAATTTTGCTTTTTGCCACCAGATGTCCTCAGTGGACTATAAAGTCTTTTTTTTCCAAATTAATAAAGTTAAAGAAAAGAAAAAAAAAGTTTTCTCTCTTTTTAAAAAAAAGTTAACAAGAGAGGTATCTCCAGCATTATCAAATTGAAAAAAACAAAGTAACAATGTCCCTTTCTTCTTTCTTTTACCCTAAAATCCCCCCCCCAAAATCCAATAGTAAAAAAAACAACCATAAAAAAAATTATTAATCTTTTTCTTTTTAGCTCTCTTTCCCGTATAGGCAGCCACCACTTTCTTAGAAAAGGGAAATAGTCAGGAACTCTTTACAGGAAAAGTCAGAATAGCGAGAGAAGGAAAGGTCTCACCCGGATTCACCACGGTGGTTCTTCATGCTTAGTTGTTCTTTTGACTTGCGGTTGGTGCAGCTGGGTGATTGGCCATTTTACTGGCTGATCTTCTTCTCCATCAGCCCTCAGAGTTGGCTCAGACAGCTGGAGGAGCCACTACTCCTCCGCAGCCAAGCACAGCCTCCTCAACGTTAGTCGCACCCTCCAGGGCGACTTTTGACCCGCATAAGGGTCTACCGGCGGAGGGAAGCTAGCCGATGAGGAGACAAGTCTCTTCGTACGGCTAGAGGCACCACGATCCAGAACCAGAAGTCTAACCTTCTTCTTGACATCCGTGTGCTTGATGTTGTCAGCTTGAAGGATGACCAGGTATTTGTAATGACACCCAGGTATTTGTAATGATCTTCACCCAGACTATTAATGTTATTTCTATATTATTTTATTACAATTGATAAGCAGTGAGCCAGTTTTTTAGACTGGATTATGCATTTTTATGCACCTATAAAGTCCTACCTAAGGATGTAAGATAGGGAGATGTTGTTTGATGCTGTTAAATGTATTTGTTACACAATGTAAAATGTTCCAAGTAAAGCTCCGTTTTGCAATTGACTGATAGTAATTTTGTCAATGCTGATTGTATTCACATTATATTCCAAATGTTTTGAGATTGCACCCAGGGCACCAATCATTATTAGTATTATTTTTGCTTTCTTTGGTCCCAGTCATTATGCTTCTATTTGCAGGTCTTATTATTTTGTTATCTTCTTCAGTTCTTTTATTCTGCTGTCTCCAGAGACTGCCAGCTTCACTATCCAGACTTTTTGTCTTCCTTATCAATACTTCGTAAGGTGTTACAGATACTCGTCAGTTTGAATTCTAAAATCCAGAGCATTTTAGCTCCTTTATTTTCCATTACTTCTCTATTTTATAGTTTCCCCTGTCCTTGCTTGAAGACAAATGGTATTTCTTGCAGATCTTCCAATGCAATATTGTTGCTACTTTGTCTTGCCATTGTCTGTAATCAGTCTCTGTGATCTTCTTGCAGCAGCTAACCAGGTGGTCCATTGTTTCTTCAGCTTTTTTGCAAGGGCAGCTGTCTGTTGTTATCTTCTTTGTATGTTATTTTATATGCATTTGTTGTTAAGGCTTGGTTTGTGCAGCTATAATTAGCCCATCAGTCCCTTTCTTAAACTTTCCTGCTTTTAGCCATTGTCAAGTTTGCTTTGCCTGCTATTTGTGTGTGTGTATGTGAGCACTGGTAATGTAATGCTTTGTATTCCCATGTTTCTTTTTTGTTCTTCAAACCATCTTTCTTGTAAGCTAGTTTTGTCTCTTCAATACTCAATAAGCCTTCCTGATATACTAGATTCAGTGCTTCTTCACTATCCTTCAGATATTCTTTCTAATGCACTTTTTTCTTTTTCAACTTTCTGATGTACTTGCAACATTCCATATCCACCTACTGCATGGGTTAATTGCCTTGATGGTACTGCCTCCACTGAATTTGGACTTTGAGATCTCTCTTGATGAATTCACTTCTAATCTTTTTCTTGACTTCAGTGTTAAGACCCTATATTGTCCTTAAGGAGCAGCATTGTGTATATATGGATCTAAACAGCATGGCTTTTTGTAATTTACAGATCAAAATTTTATCAATCCACATATTTTTTAAGTGCTATCCAATATTTTTTTGGTGTCCTACTCAGTGTGCTGATAATTATTGGGACTACCACAGCTAGTTTATGCCATAATATTTCAACTTGATTTTCAGATGTTGATACTTCATGATACAATTCTTCTATTTTACTACCTCTTGGTATTGCCACATCAAGTATCCATACTTTCTCCTTTTCAACCACTGTTCAGTCTGGGATGTCATGAGCCAAGACATTTACCAATTTGTATTTGAAAACCTACAATATTTTAACCTGCTTTTGACTATGTTTTCAACTCTATATTCCTATCTATTTTCATTACTGGCAGATGTTAGTTTTTATAGATGTTCTAATGAATAATTTTGATGACTCCCATATAAATATGGAAGTATTATTTTTGCCATTGTTTTAGTATTACTGCACTGTGTAAATCAAAGCCTATTTGTTTTTCTGTTCTGTCTTCTTATTGTTTTATACATGCATAGGAAAAAATGTTAGAGGAGATTATAGTACCTAGACAAAGTTTGTAGATATCAGTTAGTGCTTAGGAAAAAAATCCCAAAATAAATCCTAGGGAATCTTTCCTGTTAGGCAATGGCTAGCTACTTCCTTATTGTTGCCAAAACACACAAACCACACTAGGGATCTTTCCATGTAATCATTATATCTTTATTTTATGTATTTGCTTGTTAAATATGTATATTATCAGATTTATAGTTGCCTGCAAATACTTTACAACTTAAGACATTATACAGATTTGATCACTTTTTAAATTAAAAAGCCCCAAAATAGGAATTTTAAATCTTGTTCAATTTAATGTTGCCCTTTGCTATATATGTCCTTGCTTGAGGTAATTATTTCTCATATTCTATTACTAAAACTATTACTAGAATATCTTTGAACTTATTTGAATTGATTTGTGATTTAGAACTGGCTATTTTCTAAATCAGCACTGAAATATTATATGCATATTATAACTTCAGAAAACATCCTTTGTGTGCAATTGCTAATGTGCATATCCTATGTATGATAAGAAAGCACTGAGCACAAATTGAATAGTAATGGATGGTTGTGTACCTCATAATCCAGATCCAAGTAGTCAAATTCCCCATTGATCCGAAATTGCTGCAAATGCCTATCAAGGGTGAGATTGATGTTTCTCCCATGACGCTCTATTAAAACAGAATGCCAATGGTGATCATCCAAAAGACTACCTGTGGTCACAGATGTGTGTCCATAAATTGAACCATACTGATTGCTACCTGTGAAAAAACAGAAAAAATACTGATTTTAATTTTCTTTTTATTGCATTATTATGCAGCTCATTTCCTTTACACAGTGACTCTGGGCTGCTGGCAAAAGAACTAAAAATAATTACAACATTCATGTTTAATATTTTTAATTGTTTTGATTTAGTATTACATTCTATAAGTCTTCTAGAGTCTGCTATGATAAATTTAATCAAATGAAACATATTTTTATAAAAATCACTTTTAATGTAATGTAAATATGTGTCACTAAAATTCTATAATAAACTTGCTGCTATTAATTATGCAAAAAGATAAGAGTCAATATGCTTAGTCATTAAGCTGATAGACTAAGACTTGATCTCTTTGGCCTTTAATTCTCTTTTTATCCTATTACGTATAGACTGTTTTTTTCTCCTCTCCATGCCTTGAAAAATTAAAATGATAGAATTCTCAAGACTTTTTCTTATCGAGGCATACCATATAGTTAATGCAACTCTTTCTGAAGAGCTCAGTACTCATGTGGCATTGTGAGAATATCTTGAAGATTTCTGATAGTAATGGTAAAAAAACCACACAGCTTGGGCTAAGATTTAATTTTTTTATTGTAATAACTGTGGTGATTTTTTTTAAGTAACTTAGCTGGTCTTTAGCCAAAATTGTCTTAATTCCAGAATATGTTATGCTATATTTCTGAGAGCCTGATTAGCAAGTATTCTCACAGCTTTCCCAAGGCAGATCAATAATACCTCCAATTCTCTACCCATCATTTATTATTTTTTAGGATAGATACCACTTCATTCAGAAGACAGATAGATAGATGATAGATAGATAGATAGATAGATAGATAGATAGATAGATAGATAGATAGATAGATAGATAGATAGATGATAGATAGATAGATAGATGATAGACAGATAGATAGATAGATAGATAGATAGATAGATAGATAGATAGATAGATAGATAGATAGATAGATAGATAGATAAAAGATAGATCAGTTTTTTTAAAAAATAAACCAAGGTAGGAATCTGCTTTTCTGCAATTCATCACACCATTTATCTACTCAAGACTCGGAGAGGATCTTGGAGTAGGAACAATATCAAAAAATTGGGGCTTCCGGTTTGCGATCATGGTGCAGACAGACGTGAGGGGCGATTGCTCTCTCTGCCATCCGGTTTTCTCCTGCCAGGGGACCCTGAAGAGGGTCGGAAGTCACCCTGGAGGGGTGATGAGCATGAAGAGGACCCCCAAGTAATCGCGGAAGGGCGGCAGCCCTTCTGTTTGATCGGGGCAGCTCTTCTAACCGATGGGGAAAAGATTGGCCATCAATATGGCCCATCACTAAGCTGCTACCAGCCGAGGCCAAAATTACTAACAAGCACTTTGAAAGCAACGCGGAGGAATTGAGTGAGATTTTACCTTCTATATACCCCAAGTAACTTTCCTGTCAAAAGCTTTTTGAAACTCTCCCCTCTGTGAGGAGAGAGGGAAGGGAATTTCCCCCCCACCCTCTAAAATGGTGGCATTTAACTACCTGGGGAAACAAAGCATTGAAAAGAACCAACTGAACAATTTAATGTAACTGGATTTACACTTCTTTTTGGAATTTGGGGACCCAAAAAGTTCCTCCTTTTATGGGGATTTGCTATTTTATTATTTTTACAAGACTACAAAAACTAAAAATGGACATAACCCAATTCAAAATCTTAGAACAACCGAAAATTTGGCAAACTTTATTTCACACTTGCATCTCAAAAGAAAAGAGGAATAGCCCTTTATATTAAAGAAAAAATGAACCCCAAACAAATGTATGCAGATGAAGAGGGGAGAATACTAATGGTGGAAATTATGATGGATCAAAAATAGATATTGATGGTAGCAATATATGCACCTAATAATAAGCAAGAGCAATTTTATCAAAAACTACACAAGAAAATACTAGACCTAAATTACCAAAATGGGAGACTTTAATGCAATAGCAGATGCGACTTTGGATTATAAAACCATAAGCAAGGGAGAAAAGGAGGAAATATGCTACCTACAGCATTTTCAAAAATGATAGAAGAATTGTGTATCCAAGACATATGGAGAGAGAAAAATCCAGAAAAACTACAATATACATTGTATTCAAATAGATATAAATCATGGACTAGAATTGATATGATATGGACATCTTTGGACTTGAAAATGATATGGAATGGAAAGGAGGAAAGAGGAGAGGTCATGGTTAAGAGGGGGAGGAAGGAAGAGGGAAGTAGGTAGGAAGGTTGAGGGAGTGTGGATGCAGGGGGGGGACCGCTGGTTATTTCTGAATACTTACTGAGTAGGCTTTTTATGTGTTTGTTTTTCTAATGAAATGCACCATATTTATATTATTTGTCCATATGTTTATTTGAAAAATTAATAAAATTTGTAAAATCGAAAATGATAATAGAATACATGGAGATAGAAACTAATGTTTGGGCAAACCATAACCCAATAAAAATGACTTGGAAAGGAATTAAGAAAAAACTAAGATGGCCCTGAATAAATCTATACTCCTGCAACTAGCAACAAATAAAATGGAATTTTTAAAAAAAAATAAACACAAAAGAAGAAACATCGCTTCAAAATGTATGGGACATGGCCAAAGCATACTTCAGAGGGTTGGATATAGCTTATGCTGCTAAAAAGAATAAAGAAATGAAATGGCTACAGTTAAAGCTGAGAGAAGAACTTAAAAAATTAGAACTAGAGTTACAAACAGATCCACAAAAAAAGTGCTCAGGAAACAAATGGAGCATAAATTAAACCTGACTGAGATGGAAATAATGGCTCAACAGATTAAATGGACCAAACAGAATTTCTTTGAAAATGCCAATAAGCCATGGAGATGTTTAGCATATAGATTGGGGAAAAAAAGAAAAAGAAAAAGAAAAAAGAATGATAAATAAGCTATAAGATTCAAAAGGAGAATTACAGTTCCAAAATGATGCAATGAAAAAAAAAATTAAAGACTACTATGAGAAACTCTACAAGGCAGAGGAAATTCCTAAAGAAAAAATACAGCTGTACTTAAAAAAAGCAGATTTGCCAAAAATTCCAGAGAATATTCGAAAAATACTAGATGGAAAAATATCAGTGATGGAGATTATTGAAACTATAAAAAGGAAAAAAAAAGAATAAGATTCCAGGCCCAGATGGACTTCCCACAGAATTTTATATATCATCATAAGATGTATTAAGCCCGACTTTGAAAGAACTTTATAATGAAATTCTCTTAGAGACTAAAATACCAAAGTTGTGGACTGAAGCTAATATTACCTTAATACCTAAAGAAAATAAAATAAAAAACTATAGACCAATATCGCCATTAAATGTGGATTACAGATGGACTATCAGCAGAATTCTATACATCACTACAAGATGTATTAAGTCCAATTTTGAAAGAATTGTGTAATGAAATTATCTTGGAGGCTAAAATACCAAATACATGGACTGAAGCCAATATTTCTTTAATACCTAAAGAAGATTTTGATTTGACACAAATAAAAATTAAAGACCAATATCATTAAATTAAATGTAGACTACAAAATGTTTGCTTCGATAATGGCAGAAAGAACTAAGAAATTCTTGACTGAATTTATACACACAGATCAAAATGGCTTTTTACCTAAAAGACAGATTAAAAAATAACTTAAGAATGATCCTTGATGTTTTATACTATGAAAACCATCCAGGGAAACAGATGGCATTAATATTTCTTGACGCACAAAAGGCATTTGATAATCTAAACTGGCAATTTATGTTCCAGCAGTTGGTGGAAATGGACTTTGGAAAAAATTTCATAAATGCAATTCAAACAATTTACCATAAACAAACTGCTAGAAAGTTTTAAATGGAGACTATACAGAAAGATTTAATATCAAAAAAGGTACAAAACAGGGATGTCCATTATCCCCATTGTTATTTATACTAACATTGAAAGTATTGACTAGAAATATTAGACAAGATATAGAAATTAAAGGATTGGTGATAAAAGATCGAAAATATAAATTACAAGCCTTTGCGGATGTTTTGGTTTTTATCTTGGAAGAGTCACTTGAAACAACCACTAAATTGTTGGAGAAAATAGAAAAGTTTGGAGAAGTGGCAGGCCTGAAAATAAACAGAGAAAACACTGAAGTATTGACAAAGAATCTAACAGATAAATAGAAAAGTCAACTTATAAAAAAGATAAATCTGCAAATAGTTAAAAAACTTAAGTACTTGGGAACCTACTTAACAGCAAGATGTGTAACATTAAAAGAAGACAACTATGAAAGATTGTTAAAACAAATAAAATGGGACTTGGAAAAGTGGAAAAATCTTCAACTGTCAATGTTAGGAAGAATAGCTACAGTGAAAATGAATATTTTATCGAAAATACTCTTCTTATTTCAAACGATCCCTGTAAAATTGGGAAAGGTTTTTTTTGATGACCTAAATGCAACAACATTGAGATTCATGTGGCAAGGGAAAAAAGCACAAATTAAAGTGAAAATGCTACAAGAAGCTAAAGATTATATTATCAAGCAGCTATTTTACCATGGCTTAAAGAATGGATAACACTGAGAAATAAAAGGCTATTGTACCTAGAGGGGCATGACCTACAAATTGGTTGGTATGCTTTTCTGTGGTACGGGAAGAATAAAACACACAGATATTTTCAAAACCATTTTATAAGGAATGCACTTCTTTTAGAATGGGAAAGAACAAAGGAGAAAATTTATATTAAGCTATCTGAATGGCTTTCAACAATGGAAGCTTTTGCTTACCCAAATTTAATTAACTAGGATAAAGTCATGACTTATAAAGATATCTTGGATAACGAAGGAAAATTGAAAGATAGACAAGATTTACAACAACAAGGTATTAATTTAGCATGGTGGCCATATTTGCAAATTCAAACAAGATACAAAAAAGATGTAAAGACAACGGGATTTTATAAAGAACAGACAGAATTTGATCAAATATTGTTAAAAACAGATGAA